AGGTAGCTCAATGCAATCACTTAAATACCCTTTACCTCAACAAATCTTAGCTTTGTAGCTTTCAAGGGAAACTTTGTAATTTAAGCTTAGGAACACCTCAAAGTCCACTCCCCCAGTCTTCAATAGGCTAGATGCACTTGCTTAGGTATTAAAAACCAATTAACAAGCAAGGTATATTCAAATGCAAGGTTACAGCAGCTTCTTTAGTGTTAAAACACTGAAAAGTTTTACCAGACACAACCTTGAAACAGTTCAAATTCTCTTCAATAAAGGGTTCTCACAGCTTCAAATAGATGAAATATACCTGGTTTACTGTGGGGATAAGATGTATATGCAGGGGCATAACAATGTAGTTCATAAGGCAGCAAAATAAAGGTCTGCAGCAGGTGTATTTGCTGCACTGAAACTTTCTGGTTTTGAAGGGTAACACTGTAATTTCGTGTCTGATTCTTCTTGTTGCTGGTTTTTACAACTTTGATTAATCTTTATACACTTGCACAGGTCAATACTTCACTAAGAATGGCATGTAAACATCAAATTACAGTTCTAGATCGATTACTCATTAGTATTCTGCAGCAACACTATTCTTAGGGACATAATAGTAATTCTTCAGTGATACAGCCCAGTTCATGCATCAACACTATAATCAATGTATATATGCTCAAGTGAAAATCCCAGCTATAACTTCATAATCTTGTTCACACAGTGTCCACTACAAACTTTTAAACATCAATAAGCCTCACAAATGAGGTCTGCTGAGCCATAAACTTAACAGGTCAGATTCTTGACTATGTCAGCTCTTAATTAGCTTTATATTACCAAATTAAGTATGCTCAGAGGATAGATAATCAATAAGTAGCTCGAGTGTAACAAGATAATCTCAGTTTTAAAGTGCTTAAACCAGAAAATCAAGCTTAAAGGGGTTTTAAGATGCCAAATGTAACTGCAGCAAGAATATAGTGAACCACATGTAGTCTACAGATGTAAATCAATAAAATAAACTTGCCTTGACCTTGTTTAAGTAGCAATACCAGCTTAAGCCAAAGGCAGCACCTCAAACTTGCTTTTACACCAGAAAACAGCAGCTGCCAGCCCTTCCTTCCATCTTCAACATGTTTACACTGATCAGTGTAAATCTCAGGTTCAATTCAGCTCACAAAATGACTTAAAACTCACTGTAAATTATTTTCATCTTGTCACACAAGAGTTCCTTTTTCAGCTCACTTTTCAGGCCCTTTTTGGATATTACATTGAGGAGGCAGAATCCACAAGAAGGCTATAACAGCCTCTTTATAGTCCTCACATAAAACCCTAATGTAGATAAGATCCTTCCACCATTCTCCAATGAAATTACAGTGTAGTACTTTCTCTCTGCAGGACCACTGTTCCATGTGGCATTAAGCTGTTCATAGTGCTGAATTTCCAATACTGCCCTTTAGACCACCACATGTCATGTACTGAGTTGCAGCCCCTGTTAAGTCCTTAGATTTCTATATTTCAGCTCTAATACACAATGCACCATCTCAGACAAGTATAGGCTAACCTTACACGTATGTAGAATGACAGAATTGCCCCTTGAGTCCTTGTGGTTACCAAACAGCCCTAAGAAGATAGAACATTGAATAACTTGTTCTTTTGACATTGAAAGAGCAAAACCAATAGAACAAACATATTTGTCTTGTCAAGAAAGAGCCAACAGGCCATTATAGGAATAGCAAAAAGCAAATAAAGCATAAAGCTAAGACATGACCATTGTAATGAAAACCAAAGCTTAAGTAGTTTCTGGGGTAGGAGACCATCTAACCCCCACTAACATAGCAATCTTAGTTGCAAATGACTGAGAGGACTCGGAATTGAAGGAATCCGTCAACTGCGCTCCCAAACCGTCGGAAGAACCTGAGTGAACACTAGCCATACTACTAGGAGGACTCAATGAAACCATCTGGCTCAAATCACCCCCTCTCATTCCCTTTTGCCGCTTATCCCCTTTTTGCTGAGCTGCTGAAGACCCACCGGATAGTGTTTGATGACGTTTGTGACTTTTTTGAGCCTGCAAAGAGCCCTGACTATTTGAAGTGGCGGACAAATCCGAGGGAGAACCCTTTCCAGTTGTGGACTTCGCCTTGCCCTTTTGCCTTCCTTTAACTATTTTGGCCCAACGCTCCAGCGGCAAAATCCGGCCTTTAATAAGAAAGGTAACTGGATCAAAGTTCACTACATCGTCCACCTGCATAGAAGCCACATGACTTTGGGAGGATGACCCTACCATAACACCCCCTTCAGGCACTGGCAATTGATCTGTCCCGGGATTAAAATCCACCACAACCCCCTTACCATAATTTTCCACAGCTGGCAGAATTGGTAAATCAACAGCACCTGTAGACCCCTCATCATGACCCTCTCCACCTGGCATTCAATTCGGATCACCCACACATGATGAGCAACCACTGGTGGTTGCAAAGGAAGCATTTAAGGAAAAGAGTTTCTACCCAAATGGCTCCCAAAGATCCCATGAGAGTCACCAGACTATTCAAGAAAAGGACGAGCCAGGGAGGAGGAAGGGGAGTGATCCGAATCGTCCACCCCATCAGAGTCATTATCCTCTATATAAAGCCATTATTTTTTATTTTCACCCCTACTAGCACTTCCATCCTTCTCTGGCTACCATAAATCCCTTTTATAAAGCCTTTAACCTCAAGCCAACCCCCATACTCCTTAAAATCCAGCATCCCGGGACCCTTTTCCACAGTACAAACTTTCCAGTGATGCCCAATGATACTACATAAGAAACAAAAAGAAGGTAATTTTTCATACCGAATTTGAGCCACCCCAGTCGGGTTATGTAAGACCACATGACGTCTAAGATGTTGTAAAACATTCAGCTCCACTTTAATGCGGAGAATCTGACTATCCGCAAGACCTTTCTCTTTACCATCCACACTACTCTTGTCCCGTAATTCAACTTTTAAGCATCTACCAAAGGAGTTAGCAATTCGTTGGCCCACCTTTTGAGACAAGAAATCCGCCTGAACATCGGAAAGTTGTATCAAGAATAGAGAGACTTGGAACAGACCTTCAGAATTTAAAAGACCCTTCTCCCACACCTTAATAACCACAAGGTGGTCATCAAATAACCAAGGACAACCCTGAATCACCCCATGACGAATACCTGTGTCTGGAATAATCAACTGGAATAAGTTATGTGCAACCTTAAAAACCTGAATCCGCTAGTACAAAGGTTGCTTATGGTGATTCTTTGGCCACAACTTAGCAAAAAGCTTTCCAAACATAAACTTCACACCTGCAAGAGTGATAGATTTAGAAGTCCAAACTTTGGCAAAAAAACTCTCAATACAAACCTGAACTCCTTGGGCCATAACCTCGGCTGACAGGTGAATCGACTCTTTCTCAGCTGGCATTAAAGTCAATCCCCCGAGCTGTGTCAGAATGTCTTGCTCCATAATCCCCTCAAAAAAGAAACTACAGTTAAGAAACAAGGGGGATACGAATATCGCCCACTTTGGCAATAGAGAAATAAAGAAAAGAGATAAAAGCCACACATATATGAAATAGTGGAAGAACAACAAATAAATAGCCCAAACATAGCCCAAAGGCCAAGCACTGAGAAACTCAACCACTTTTCCACCGCCATGGCAGTAGCACTGACGACGGGTGAAGTGACTGTCGTGCACTGCTCGAGGTAATAAACCCTCAGAAGTATCATATCGTAAAGCATAGTAAAGACGGCTTATAAGCCCATCCATAAGCCCAATCACTGTAGCCTCTGAGAAGTGAAGAAACAACTTGCCCAATAAAGGTGGGTACGCCTTAGTCAACAGGATTACATAGTTGGGCAGAGACATAGGTCCCACCAGATAACCAAAATCGAGAACTTTCCTTGACGTCAGCAATGACGTCATCTTAACAGTGACTGACATCCATAACACCGACAGCAAGTGCCGACAACAAAAGGTACACCAGTAAGCACCCTTACCATCGCCGGCAAACCCCTTCCCTCCTCGACCATGGAACCAGTAACCCCTCAACGCCCACACAGACAGCCAATAAACCATCACAGGCTAAAAAACAACCATTTTCTTAGCAACCCCCATCCCAACCCTAGCGGACCCTCTCTAACCAGAGCCCCCCAATTTAAAATAGGTCCTAACTGCCCCCCTCATCCCTTCTAACCAACACCACCAATCATCACTCCACGCATCGGATTCATGATAGCTCGCCAAAACAACGGAGACAGAAGCGAAGTCGGATTGGTACACCACCAAAGCACCCAAAAAAGAACTAGACGATGAAGAATGAAAAGGAATCAAGAGAAATTACGAAACGAAGCCATACCAAACAACTGAAACTGGAGTAATCTAAACCCAAACTGACAAACACCCACCCAGCACAAACCAAACACTAAACACCCAGACCGAGAAACAAAAGGAAACCCCATAAACCAAGGAATCCACCCAGATCCAAGCAAAACACAGCCCACCAGCCAGATCCAAGCAGACCACCCTCAAAATAATGGGAACAAGGAAAACCAGAACGAAAAAGTGAAGAAACACCACTCAAGGTGACCAAATAGAGGGACACGACACTCCGAAACCCACGACACAATGAGAAAACTTTGATGCCAAAGAAACCCTTAAAAAAAAAAAAAATTTCCTAGCGCCAACACGAGGGAAGGACATCTTAGACCTTTTATAAAATTTCATTAACTTGCCGAGCACAAGGAGGCCAACCTTGAAGGAAGTTTGTGTCATAAATTTGGAATGTTCTAATTGTATGTACAAAATGGGAGGGAAGGGCGGTTGAGACTTGGGTTCCCACGTGGCTAATTGAACTACTCTATTTGTGCTAATTTTTCAACATCTGTCTCACCAATTATTCCACCCAAACCCCAATGGTGACGTCAAGATTTGCCGTCGTCTCCGAATAGCTTACGTCTGACTGACGTCTTCCGCTAGCACCCGCGTTTACTTTTTGCAGCTCTCTGACTATTTCACCAGAAAGCAAAGCGTAAGCACAATCCAACAAACTCACGGACCCTTTTCAGATTCCAGAAACCTTTCCATCGATTCCACTCTGGCTCTCACAATACAATACCCATTTGATTCGATCATGGCTTTACTGACACTCTAATCTCTAGCATCTGATTCATTTTCTATCTCAGAAACCCTAATTCCAATCCGTGTTGAATTTGTATAAAACAAGCTGCACGATCAGAATCGAAAAATGGCTGCGTCAGAAGTGGATAAAGCTAAGACTTGGGAGGAGGCTCTGAGGAAGATGGTCCCCGCCGGAGCCCCCTTGCCGGACGAAGACCAGCTCGACTTCTCGATTGCCATCGAGTACGAAGGTCCTCCGGTGCCCTACGATGTCCCCAAGGTCGATCCTCTCGACGTCGATTCCATTTCCATTCGGAGTTCTTCGATCGTATCGGTTTCCGATTACGGCTCTGCCGTTCCGGTCGTCGCGCCGGTTTTCCCCATCGGGAAGATTTCGAGGTTCAACAGAGTCCGGAACGGAGGTCTGAGTAGAGAATTGAGGAGTCCGTTGGAGGGCAGCCGGAGGTCGTCATCGTCGGTGTCGAGGACTCAATTGGAGCGAGAGGATTCTGATTGTGGCGGGAACGAAAGAGTTGAGGAGGAACTGTCTACTTCCGCTGCGTCCTTGGCGCAAGAGTCGAATCTTGTTTCTGCTTCGAGTTTCGACAGTTCCGATTGCAAACCAGTTGGGGAAGGAAGACGAGCGACTGTGGTAACTTTCATAACAGACACGGACAACGATGAGGACGAGTCCTTTTCGCCCCAATTGAGTGTAGCTGATGTAGCAGCTTCTTCGCCTGTTGAGGGTCCGAGTGAAGAGAAGGGGCTGCGGAAGAGAGGAATTTGCAGTAGGTGTGGGAAAGGGAATAGGTTGAAGGAGAGGGAGGCTTGTATTGTATGTGATGAAAGGTATTGTAGCAATTGTTTGCTCAAAGCTATGGGGTCTATGCCAGAAGGTCGAAAGTGTGTGGGCTGCATTGGGCAGCCCATAGACGAGTCGAAGCGGTCCAGATTGGGAAAATCATCGAGAATGTTGTCCAGGGTGTGCAGTCCTTTGGAGATTAAGCAGATTATGAAAGCTGAGAAGGAATGCTTGGCGAATCAGCTTCGGCCTGAACAGCTTGTTGTGAATGGGAGGCAGTTGCAGCAAGAAGAACTGGAGGAGATTTTGGGTTGCTCAATCCCACCTCAGAAGTTGAAGCCTGGGAGATACTGGTACGACAAGGATTCAGGACTTTGGGGGAAGGTGAAATTAGTGTTCCTTTCTTCTTCTTCTTCTGTTCTTTTTCCCAGTTTTGTTTCATTGGAGATGTTTCTAGTTTTATGTTTGGTTAGCTTTACTGGTTTTGTTTTTTTTTTTTTTTTTTTTTTTTTTTTTTTTTTTTTTTTTAATTTTTTTTTATCAGGAGGGAGAGAAGCCTGATAAAATTATTAGTTCAAAACTGAATGTTGGGGGTAAGCTCCGGCCAGATGCGAGTAATGGGAATACAAAAGTTTACATTAATGGCCGTGAAATCACAAAAATTGAGCTCAGATTATTGAAAGTAAGCTGTCTCTTCATGAAAATTCTATTGCATTAATTATATCTCTTCTTAAGAAACCTATGGTTGCACTTGCTATATATTTGTAGATGGTACAATATCACATGATTGTTAACAGCAGTGCTCTATAATCCATAAAATGATTGTTTATACTGCAGTTTTATCATTAAGAATGTATATCCAAAATTTTCCTATGGGAACAATCAGATTGAATAATGTTTTAGTTGACTCCACATCCCAATTCCATTGTAGGAGTAAGAATAAATTTGTTTAATGATATCCATAATGCAACAAAACATAGACCCATAAAGTCTTATGCATACTTACCAATTTATTTATTTTTTATTTACTTTTATCCATAAGGCAACACGTCATAGCAGGTTAAACAACCCATAACGTCTTGTGTATTTACCAATTTAGCAACACGTCATAGCAGGTTAAACAACCCATAACGTCTTGTGTATTTACCAATTTATGTTTCATTTGTTTTTATCATATTAAAAAAAAATAGAAAATATCAATATGGCCGAAACAATAAAATACTCACCCCCCAACACATACCACACACAAAACCGAGTTGGCATAAGTTTGGGCATGACCCAGGGTCTTGTATTAAATTCCTAGAGGCGTAAAAAACCTACATCTTTGGTTTACCTGATACTCTCATGATTTTGAGGTGATTATTTCAATCGAAAAAGAGCAACTAACAATATTTGGGCAAATGCTTTTATGCATACCTCTTTTGGTTGATCCACACCATACTCTATTCTCGTAAGATACACACTAGCTAACAGCCCACCTGGTGCTACCTCATAGGCACATTGGAAGTGTAGATAATTGTAACCATATGCATATAAAATGACAGCAATGGAATGCCAATCCTCGGGCTTTATTTGTAAAGTCTCTATTCCTTGGTAATCAAAGCCCAAAGATCTATGAATTAGCCCGTGCTTGACTAGCCAAGCAGACAAACGACCCTGCATCTGTTTTATGTCTCCTGCATTTTTATTTGTATAAGTATCCGATTAAGATGTTTTGATCATGTATTGTCCAAAATAATTAGTGTTAATACAAATACAACTTCCTAGAAATGACTCTGCTTTCTAAATCATACTTATGGATTTAAAGTTTATAAAAATTGCTGGTGGAATTGTTTGTGAACCTACTAGTAGTTCATAAAAAGTTGAATAAACACATGGCGTTACATATAAGTTGAAAGCTTAGAATCAATTAATATTAAGCCTTTTGACAATCATGCATTTAGTATTTTCCCCCAATTCTTTTAATACCGTTATTTTTTTTCTAAAAAAAGGCGATATATAAGCATAAATACCAAAACAAACATAACGGTATTAAAAGAATTGGGGGAAAATACTAAATGCATGATTGTCAAAAGGCTTAATATTAATTGATTCTAAGCTTCCAACTTATATTTGACGCCATGTGTTTATTCAACTTTTTATGAACTACTAGTAGGTTCACAAACAATTCCACCAGCAATTTTTATAAACTTTAAATCCATAAATCTATCAGGTGACTTATCTGTAGGTGTCAATCGATGATAGAATTGGATTACAAGACTCGGATTTCAAGAAGACAAATACTGTTTTCAATGGTTAGTAGGTCAATCTATAATTCATTGTGAAAATCATCAATGTTAAATAAGCTCAAATGTCTTAAAGAAACATTATTGCTTCGTTAGTAACAATAATTTTGATTGTTGCTTAAAATGTAGTATTAAAAGTATTACAAAAATAACTGCCAAGTTCCATTATACTTGTTCTTCATTTATTACAACATGAAGATGAAGTTGAAGCCTCTACATCATAGATGTCAGCAGGAGATGAATTACATCTTAAACATTATCAACCTGGACTAATTTTTTAAGAGGATGATCCCCTTGCTCCATAGGTTAGAGGAGAGAGAAGAACCATTGCTTGAAAGTGAGGACAAATCTGATTGGTTTGAGGATGACGTTGCAGAGAGTAGTACAGCTACTACTCAACAACCAGCTTCATCGTATCAGCTGCTCAGGCTCATAAGTCATAAGGATAACTAGAGTCCAACACCTAGGCAAAGAGATTATGATGAGGGTGATTTGGGTCCATTTCATGGTGATTATGACGATTATGGAGGTGTCAGAGATATGCATATGATGTTATCCCCATTTGATCACTTTCTATTACATCTTACTTATCAAAAATAAATAAATATATTTTTTTCCTAGTTGGTACTCACACACCCCCCTACAAGGAATTGTTTGCATCCAAGAGGAGTCGAACCTTAGACCTGGTGCTTCCTGAGGCACCAGGGCCAAGTGACTTACCCACTTGAGCCAACCCCTTGGATGTTTGACGTTTTTACATGCACTCACACAAACATGTATATATTATATAGAAAGGTATATTAAAGAAGCAAGAATGTCTGGATCACGTGGTCATCATCATCATCATCCTTGCCTTTGTCCCAAATAAACCGGGTTGGCCAATTCAGGAGCACGTGAGTCACTATAATTATCTATCTACATATACAATCCAGATCTATGTATGTACAAACATTCATGTATATATATGTCTTTTTCCTTAGGTATTTTGTATAGGAATTATTATTATCATCATGATTTGTTAGATTACAAAATTCTTGTTAGGAGCAAAGAAAATTAGTGTGTATTTCAAATATATCTCTTTTTTGTCATATCCTTGCCTTGTTCATGTCATATTTCGTAGGAAATATCATGTCATTCCCATGCCAGTATCCATGCTTCTATTTCTGATAGTTACATCATATACATTTTTTGTTCCTCGTATTAATTGAGATTTTCCTCGTATTAATTGAGACCTAAAGGTCTTGCTCCCATCTCTTGTTTTCAGAAACAAGGCTTGCATTCTGAAACAAGATTTCCATTCAATTAAAAATTTCATCACAGATTTGTTTTTTCAGCTTTTATCATTCCATTATTTTTTCTAGTTGTCCTATATATGTATGTGTATAGTATGCTCACTTATTTTGTTAGTTTGGTGTTTTATTATTCATTTATATCGGCAAATATCATGTCTGAAAGCTATTATGCAATTTGGCTGGTTCTTAAAAGCTAAATTACGTTTTGTACTGAATTGTGTGATTGTTTTTTCCTCTGTTCAAAGTTTGTATATGTTATGTTTCTAATTGGATTTCATACTTTAGGTGGCTAATCATTTATCAGTTATGATTCAGTTTTCTATATGCATTGGTGCTCTTCGTAACTTGATTTTTTCTCTCATCGACTTTCATTTCAGCTGGCCAAGGTACAGTGCCCACGAGATACTCATTTTTGGGTGTACGATGATGGAACATATGAAGAAGAAGGTCAAAATAACATAAAAGGCAACATATGGGGAAAGGTTCTCTCGTACCGTGAATAACAAATTATGCTTTTTGGCTCAAGTTTGACATCTCACCAAATGCTACAAAGTAATTTTTTAAACAGTTGCTGTTTTGGTTTTGGTAGGCAGGCGTCCACTCGTTTCATGTATTCATTATTTTCATTACCCGTACCACATGCAAATCCTCATGGCCCAAAAGAAGATTCAACCACTTTTTCATGTAGATCAGTGCCTGATTATTTAGATCCTGGAAGAGTTAAGAAACTTCTGTTGTTCGGGCTGGAGGGTTCTGGGACAAGCACTATCTTCAAACAGGTATGATTCATATTTTGCTACTGTTATTGGGTCTGATTCATAATATACATTTCTTACAAAAATATTTCAAATGTGCATTGCTTTTGGTGCTGCTGATAGGTATTGGTGTCTTGTTGTTGTCGTCTTTGTATTATATAAGGTGGTCCATGTGCGAATTTCTAGTGAATTTGGGTGTCCAATCCAAATCTGATATTCAAATCTCCAAATTTTGGTGGAATTTGAAAATCTGAATTTAAATATATATATATTTTTATTTTGGATGAAATTCACCAAGTTCAACTTTGGAAGATGGTAGGGCTGCAAACGAGCTGAGCCAAGCTGAGTAGGCATTTGTTTTGGCTTGATTGTGAAACAATATTGCTAGAGCTTGCTTCTAACCGACTGTTTGAGCTCGGCTTGGGAGCTTGTTTAATTAAACAAGCCAATCTTTAGCACACTGGTGGCCCAAACAAGTTGATAAAAACTGCCGGAGACACGGCAAAGGCGAAGAACATTACTGCCAAACAAACCGGGCCAAAACAAGTCACGAATAGCACCGATAAACCCTTAGCAACATTTCAGATGCTAAGCTAATACCCCAAAATAGGGGTCCGAACCTAGGAAGAGAAACTTGGCTCTAATACCATGTTGAAAAGCATAAAATGGAAGCGAAGAGATAAATAAAACAAGTAGAACACATAGATATTACGTGGTTCAGCCACTAGGGTCTACATCCACAGCACAAAGAGCCCAAAGGGCTACATCACTGTTATAATACTCTCTCAATTCATATACAAAACAATGGTGGAGGCTCCTTTATATAGGAGAAGAAATTATGAGAATGGAAAGAATTAGAAAATAGATTTTTCTCCACTAATTCCTTTATTAACACCAAATCTTCAATAATAGGAAACAACATCAATTACTGAAAGATTTTCCTCCACTGATTCCTCCATTAAATCTTATATAGTATAATAAAAATAAAAAAAACATATTTCCCATTTCCAAAACATAGAATGACACTAAAACTAATTAAACTTCAAAGAAAGCATTCTGTTTATTATTATTTTCCTTTGCTTTGTTTATGATTTCTGATTCTTCATCTTTATATACTCAATACTTTTTTTTTTTTTTGATAAGTAAAATGTATTAGAAAGCGTTCAAAAGGGGGAACGCGTCCCGAGATAACTTTATATACTCATACTTAATAAGTTCTAAACATTCTCGAACTTATACAAACTCAAAACAAAACATAATCATAGCCTGTTGTAAGAAGAAAAACCCAAAAAAATAAAGCACAAAGAAAACCCCATATCAATATATTGATCAGCAAACTGAAAGCAAGTACACAAGGAAAATTAGTCAACAATGTCATTCCCTTTACCAAACATATAAGTGACCTATTTATGTTGCTCGATTCCTAGAGATGCAAATTCTATCCACAAAACATAAACCATGGTGATAATCTGATTATCTTATAACAGCTCAACTTGGATTTTCATATATTGTTTAAACAAGTTTGTATTTCCTATGTATATTAGTGTATATATACAAACATAAAAGAAAGCTACGGAAGAACATATGCATGTATGACAAGGAGGAATTAGTACTTTAATGAGTCTAAGCTAATATGTATTTTAAAATCAAGTTTCAAATATTTCAGGGAAAAAAATGGGCTTTTGTTATAGTCTGGAAGATAGAGAAAAATAAAGAGAGAAAAGGGAATTAATGACTAATTTACTATAGAGATAAAGAGCAACATATACCCTTTGTCCTCTTGATCGATGGAGCATCAAAGCAAATCTCCCGGAGATGTCAAGTAGAAGAAGTGGAAATAGTCTACCGATCCCTAAAATGGAAAAGAAAAAACTTAAATCCTTGAGTATGATAAATTTCTTCAAAACTAGAAAATCCCAACTTTTCAAAAGTAAAAAATTCTAAATTTCTACAGAGAGATGGAGAGATGAAAGGAGAAATTTCTTCAAATCAGTAAGCATGAGAAATTTCTTCAAAAGTCAAAACCCTAACTTTGCAAAAGCAAAAAATTCTAAATTTCTACAGAAAGATATGAAAGATGAAGAGATAATATAGAAAATATGGAGAGATAAAAGGAGAAATATCTTTAAATCAGTAAGCATGAGAAATTTCTTCAAAAATACAAAACCTTTACTCTTCAAACTTGTTCGTAAACCTCTTATCGAGCTTTGTTTGTGAGCATGTTCATGAACAATTGAGTCGTGTCTAAAATATCTGTGTATCTTTAATATGTTTAAAATATCTCAGTATCTTTAATATGTATTACCTTTTTCTTCATTGAATAAATTGTCTTTTTGCTTCTTTTCTTGAAACAGGCCAAGTTCTTATATGGAAACAAGTTCACTCCTGAAGAGCTGCAGAACATTAAGCTTATGATTCAAAGTAACCTGTACAAATATCTCAGTATCTTGCTTGAGGGGCGAGAGCGTTTTGAAGAAGAGGCTTTGGTGGAAAGAAAGAATACTGTTTCAATTGCTGAAGAATCTGAGTCAGGTCTTAATTTTTAAGCTGACAATGCTGCTTTCTTTCAATGGAGTCCTAAATTCTTGTATACATCTTTAGTGTGACTTTATGTCTTCTGTTTTACCATTGTTAATTTGCTGGTGTTATCTTTGAGTTACAGCATTGGTGTTTGTAGTTTGTTTTCCCTAGTTACTCTTGGCCAAGACGGAGAGGATTAGAAGAGGTTGTCTTTTGATGGTATAGGTGCTATGCTGCTAAATATGCAATGGTTGATATGCAATTTAGAGTAGGGAGGACAATTTGTGAGAGCGAAAGAGATTTAATAGGCTCTAGATATACATGGATCAACTCTTTTTTACCACAAGGATTTAATGCTTTAGTCTTTCTAGAAGGAAGTTTTAGGTTTGTTTAACATATGAAAACAATATAAAGTTTAAATCTCTAGCATTCCTTTTTGACTATGGCGCCAAAAATTGGTAAACGGATGGTACCAATCAACCTTTTCATTGTGGAAAATCAATGAAGGATGGTTACTTTCGCTTTTGATCCTCGAACTATCTAGTGCTCAGTGACAACCATCGCATTGAGGTAACAATGGGAACTGTAAGGTCAGTAGGTTTTAGGTTGAAAATTTTTGTCGTCAAAGACATAGTGTCTGTAATATTGGTTTTTATTTTAGTTAGAATTTTGAATGTTAGTGACCTTTTGTCAAAGTGCAAAATTGAATTAAAGCATCGATTATCGAAGGCAAAAAGGTAACCTTCAAGTGCAAGGGTAAAAAGGAAAACTTGACACATATATGCACTCACCAATTAGGGTTCATGCATTCTTCAATTATGGTTTATAATTTCATGATTTAAAATCCTTTTTGATATGCATATTATGTTTTTGGAAACTGCTTAATTTGGAAAACCTAAGTATAGCAGTGTGTGGCATTTCTATCAATCAAAGGATCTGCCAAAGGCCATCGGACTAGCATCTATCGATCTAGCAATGCAAAATTTTAGTTTCCTTTTCAGATTAAGTTTTTAAGACCCTAAAGTTTTCATCAGTCTATGCTCTATATAAAGACCTCTAGTGTATAGAAAATCTAGTGCGTGCATCATATAGTTTCTCTAGAATGTACAGAGCTTACTGATTGCTAGGGTTTTTGGTGTGGTTCTCATTCACCATTCAGGACTGGGTTGTGCGTTTTGTGAGGACATTTCCAGGACTGGGAGTTGGAGGATGTCAATGGGCTTTTGGAGTTGCTTTACGATCAGGAGGTGGATAGCAAAGGGCCTGATTCCTGGATCTGGGTCTCGAAGGTGGTTCGATGTTCGCTCGTTCTATAGGGGGCTTTCGTATGTTCTGGGGCCTGCATCCCATGGAAGGCTGTTTGGCGCACCAAGGCCCCCCTTAAGTTGGCGTTTTTTGTTTGGACAATAGCTTTGGGGAGGATCCTAATGCTGGATAATCTGAGGAGGAGGAGACAGGTTATTGTCAATCGGTGTTGTATGTGCAAAGAGAGATGAAGAGACAGTAGATTATCTTCTTTTGCACTGCCTTGTTGATCGGTTGGTCAATTAACATCAACTTTCGCAATAGCACGAATCATTGTAAAATAGGGCTATTGGTCGGGTAAGTCGAACCACTGGGACTGTGCTAGTCTATGGCAACTTAAGTGTCTAGAATTGTTCTTAGAATGATAAGGGGTAATAAGGGTTTGTTTGATGGTCACTAAACTAGGAATTCAAATGTGCATCAAACAATAGTGACTTGCAAGAATTAGATGAGATAGAACAATAGAGAAGAGAATAGGGAAGAGACTCCACAACCATCAATAAGCATGCTAGGATATGATTTACTTAGGGGAATAACATATATGTATAACCATGGGATGCAACAACACAAATTATTACATTCCCTTCAAGAAATTTATGAAATCAATAGGTAAGAATAACCTATCAAAGCATTGCATGTTTTGGTTACCTAAACTAGGTTGTAACCTTAGACATACTCACTAAGCATAGAGTTATCAAGCTCTTAATCACATAGTAGAAGCACATGACATAGAATCCAAGAATAATCTATCAAAGGAAGATCCTAAGCAATAGATTATCAAATCTCCTAAATATCATGCCATTAACAACACTTCCATAAACTCCATTCCATTGTCACTATGAAAATGTAGCAATATAATCATAGGAGAAAAACCATCTAAGACAAGATATTTAACTCAAGATGATTATGTATAGATATTGAAATTCATTACATCAAATGAAGAGCTCTAGTGCATGGAAGGATTACATACATATATTAACCCCCAAATATAAATCAAAACAAAGCAAAGCTTACAAAATGGAGCTTCATCACCTCCCTAAAGGAGGTTTAGTTACCCATGGTGGCCCTAGATGAAGGAAGAAGCAAGGCTTTCCCCTCCATTTTCGAGCTTCCTCCTTGAAGCTTCAAGAACTCCTCCTCTTTGCTCTCTTCTCTCTCCAAAAATCTGATCCAAAAGTGAGATATGAGATTGTGTGGCTTTCCTCCCCTTATCTACCTCCAAAAAAGGCTCTCTCTCTCCTCCAAAAATATCCCCAACCACTCCATAAAGAGGGAGATAAAAAAATGAGGAAAATAAGGTGCAAGTGGCTGAATTCCGAAGGGCATTCTGCCTAAATTTCGAGTGCTCGAAATAGGGCCTCGAGCACTCAAAAATGGAGCAGATTGCTCCATGCTTGCCTTGCTTCGCCCGGACCTACTTTGGTAAAACAGCCATAATTTTGCGCTCCGAACTCCGAATGATGAACCGTTTGAAGATTTGGAAAGCTAATTCAGAGCTCTAAAAACTTTATGTTTTGGTGGAGATCCAATTCTCAAGTCTGGTTGGTCGAAATTGAAGAGAAAGACAGAAATTCATTGCTGCCAGGCAGTTCTGAGCACCTCTGATAAGAAGATCATAACTCTCTGCTCCAAACTCCGAATGACGAACCGCTTGAAGATTTGGAAAGCTGATTCAGAGCTCTAAATATGTCATGTTATGAGGGAAGTCCAGTTCTCGAGTTTTCAAGGTCAAAATGGCGAGCAAAGTCCAGGTTCCACTGTTGCCAGAAATTCAGCATTGTGACCTTTGATGTTCAAAACTCCACAAAGCATCCTTCTTGCTTCTTTTTGGCCAATGAACCTGAAAATATGCAAAAACGTGCATATGAAGGTAATCTACATAATTAAACAAACAATGGACTTAAATAATGCAATTAAGGGCGCTTGAATATGCAATATTCGGCGTTTATCACACCCCCAAACTTACATTTTGCTAGTCCCTTAGCAAAACCAAAATGAATACTTCAATGAAAATACAACCATGGGCATGCTACTACAAAAATATCATCCATGGTGAAACGAAGTGCAAACATAGCTCAAATACAATTTGAAACAACAAAGAACTGGAGATGGGGTCATTGGGAAGACTACCTTGCATATATGAAACATTGATACTAAACACATTTCAACATGTATGTATCAACATCATAGACTATATAAATAACTCAATTATCATCTCTTGAATGGAAATCAACTCTAACTTCAGTGAAAGTGAATTGGATTCTCAACATGCGGCTTTTACTTTCTTTTCCAATTCTAAAGCACAAGTTTTCAAATCATTGAATTCCCCTTTAAATGAGGTCCCTAAGGCATGATTTTATTTACAAGACAACTTTTGTTGCTTGTTGACAATTTATTGTAACTCAGAAGTGAAACATAAGATGGTTGTGCAATGCTGAAGTCCCTTAAGCTTTCTAACCAACCTATGTAGCAAGCGTTAGGCCAACAACTCCCAAACCAGATGGCTTTAGGGTGTTAAGTGTAGAGACACTCCAAAGGGCTTAATAGCTCAAGTTGGAAAGGCTACGAACTCCAACGAACCATGTTTATTACAAATTTTTTTGAATGACCGTGCAATGTTTAAGTCCTTTAAGCTTTCTAACCAACCCTTGTAGCGAGCGTTAGGCCAACAACTCCCAAACCAGATGGCTTTAGGGTGCTAAGTGTAGAGACACTCCAAAGGGCTTAATAGCTCAAGTTGGAAAGGCTACGAACGTCAACCGGTCATTATTTTCTTTCTTTCTCAGTTTTTTTTTTTTTTTTTTTTTCAAAATACATGCCAAAGGTTCCATCTATCAGGTTCATCAAATCAAATTAACTAGGCCAAGGTCAAGGTCAATCAAGTTGCATGCCTCACAGTTAAGTTTCTACTGTGCATCTGTGCATTGTGAAGCTTAAAAGAGTGTCAAATCCAGCGAGAATCTAATTGAGACATTTATACAGACTAATTTGAATCCACATAATCATTTCAACTCAAATTTTTCTTTATTTTCAAAAATGTCAATTGCTTCTATACACCAAGTATTAAACATATGCTTCGTCTCCGACAAGTGTCAAGTTATACTATCATTGCTTAGCAAAAATGCAAAACCAAAAATGCATAAATGCACCCCCAAACTTGAATAACACAGTGTCCTCAATGTGTGAAGACAAGCATACCAAAAAAAAAAAAAAGCAAAGGGGGGAAAAGAACAATAATACCAAGTGGAGTGACGACGACGTAGATGTGCAGCCATGTGAGTGCGCAACGGCGTCCCCCAAACTTGGACAGGAAGACCTGTCAAAACACAACTAAAATACGCAGATAAATGCATAGGTCTCGGAAAAAAAAAAAAAAAAAAAAAAACGAGAACAGAAAAAAAATAGTACTAACGTGGATTTTAATGAAAGATAGAAAGCTATATAATTTTTTATTTTTATTTTTAAGACAGCATGTATGTGTGTGCCGAGGGGTTTGTTTGTGGGTGGCATGCTGCAATATAACATGCATGGTTTGCATGGTTGATGGAGGTTGGGTTGCATGGAGAGGTTGGTTGGTTTGTGGTTGATGGCCGAGAGAGTGAAGGGTGGGTTGGTTGAGTGTGGGCTGGGTTGGTGAGGATTTGTGGGTGGCTTGGTGGGGTTGGTTGTGGGTTGAGGAGAGCTCGGCATGGTGGGGAGGAGGAGGG